TATGGGAAAGAAGAAGAAGAAGAGATAGCTTTTGACTTAACATTCCTCTTTTCTCCTATTGAAAATCCCTAATAAGGAAATAATTTTTAAATTCATTCCCCTTAAAGGACCAAAATGCCCTATTAATTCATCTATTGTTACAAGTTAGTCTAAAACACTTGTTCATTGAAGTGAAGAATTGTTTTTGTTGAGTTTGAGTGTCTCATTGAATTTGATTATTTTGTCTCAAAACCTTTGCACTTTCAGAATTCGCGTCAAGGTATAGAATTTTTAGAATTCGACTCGAATTCAAAGTGGCACAATCTAATTAATATTTAAGTTTGGAAAAGTAAGAATCATAGTTTGATTAAAATATATATTAAAGTATATTTATATTAGTTTTACTTTGTAATAAAATATTTATTCCTATAAATAGATGCTAAGAGTAAAGGGTTAGATTTCAAGATTTTCTTTCTCCAATATCCTCTTGTATTTTCTTACTTCATATTAGTGAAATTCTTCTCATATGTCTGTGATTTTTCTCTTTTGAGTTTTCCACGTAAATCTTGGTGTTCTTTATTTTTCTTTGTCAATCTTGTTTATTTATTTGTCGATAATTATTTTGATATTAGAACAATATGCACATCAAATGATTATCAAATTTAGAATTATACCCATGGTTATAATAAATCATACCAGATAAGAGATAAATTAAAACGTAATAAAGTTACATAAAACTTAAAGCGTGAATCAATAAAAATAACGAAATGAATATATATAAGGTTAAGATATACTTACACAATGTAAAACTCTTTAGTTGTACACATATTTAAGACCGTTCGATGAGTGAAAATAGATGACTAAGATTGACTCGTTGTTTTCCCCAGTAAATATCTTCACATTTCTTACTTTTAATCTCAACCATCTGATTTAACTCATCCAACGATCCTAAATCTATGTAAAATTAAAAGATTTTTTCATTGTGTAACATGATCCTATCATATATATATATATATATATATCAAAATATGATGAACCAAGTTAATTTAGTGATTAAAGGGATGATTGTAATTTCTAAAGATCTCGGGTTTAAGCACCAATAACGGCAAGTTTAAATGTTTATTGTAAAATGATTGAGAATCATTAAAACAAATATTCTTCATATAATTATTTAAGTTATTTTTCCTTAAGCATTTCCCTCTTAAATACTTGATTACAAGAACTGTAAGAACAATAAACAAATCTTGATGCACTCTTATTGTATTTCTTTACATTAAAGTTTCCTCCACTGATGGAAGGTAATACAAATCGTTAAGATGTATGCATTATTATAACCCGATTGTTTATCAGGACAGGCACAAGATTTTATATTAGAAATGAATTTTTTATTTAATATATATTATAAATTTAGGGTAAAGTATACTAATGGTCACTGAACTTTTTTAAAGCTTTCATTTAGGTCCCCTAGCTTTTAAAACTTGCAATACAGTCCCCCAACATTTAGTCCATTTACAATATGATCCCCCAACATTTAGTCTGTTTGCAATATGGTCCTCGACCGTTTGACGCCGTTACACTACCGTTAGTACGTTTGCAATATGGTCACTGAACTTTTCAGGCACTTGCATTTAGGTCCCCCAATTTTAAAACTTGCAACACAATCCTAAATTTCATTTTAAACTCTAAATTCCTTTTCGATCTTGAATTTCCTTTTTCGCTTCTCTCTTCTCATTTCTAGCTTAACTTTTCAGTCGGGGATGCATGGGAAATTCTAATCTAACTTTGAATTATGTGGACGTGTTTACTAGAATAAGGGTCCATTAATTGAGAGAAGACCCGACCAAGGGACTATCGGGACCATCAACGATTCAAGGTGTAATGTTAGATACAAGTAATCTCAAGTGAAGCATATATGTTCGATGAAATGCTTGTGAGAAAAAAAATGGGGTTAGAAATGCAGAGTTGACAAATACTACTAATATGAAGTAAGTATCATTGTTGAAAGTCACCAACAAAGCTGAATTATTTTATATAATGACATATAATAATTTCTTTGTTTAATCCTTGTGCTTAAAGATTTTCTAACAGATGATCAAATATAATGAAATCCCAAACAGCGCATTCACCTCTCAGTCTCTTTCGTAACTCAAAAGGCATCATGACAAGGTCAAGTAGCTGCTCCAAATATACTACGCTGTCATGATGCCTTTCGTGTTATGTGCATGCAGAATTGCCTTCTAAAGCTATAATTCAATACAATTCAACTATAAAATTTCCAAAACATGTAAAAAATTTAATTCGTTCACGATAAATCAGTCCATAATCAACATGAACTTATTAAAAAGAATACGAGCTCACATGACGCTGAAAACCACATGTCGATCAATAAAATTCCAGTAAACTAGTACTAACAGTCTCTCAGATTGAGTCTGGCAATTTCACTATGTCGATACTCACAACTAATTCCCTGATTTAAAGAAAAACCAAACAAGAAGATCAAATTTTTTTGCCTAGGACCCTATTTCACTTCTATTCTGATGGACTGAATATCTTTCACAAGGAGTACTAAAAGTTTTGATTAAGAAGAAAGAAAGAAAATTAGATGGTTTTGGTTCAAAAGTAACACTGAATATCCATATCATTGACATGCAGTTCCAGAAACAGAACAATTTCAACATAAAACACACAATGCGAGCTGAAAATGGGAAAGTATGAAAGAGGAAAAACTTACTTCCGGATAGCCTAAAAGAGAAAATAAATACCTTCTTGCAAGTGAGGGGAAAGACTAAGAAATAAACGCAATCGGTATTGCGTTCAAGCAATTCTTCCTCCATTTTTTCTTTATAAATAAAAAGCTGAAAGACATAGCACTGCTTGGTTTTACAATTTTATATGGCGGAAAATTGAAGAACAAAAACCAAACGAGAGGTGAATGCGCTGTTTGGGATTTCATTAAATTTGATCATCTGTTGGAAAATCTTTAAGTACAAGGATTAAACGAAGAAATTATTATATGTAATTTATACAAAATAATTCCAACTTTGTTGGTGACTATCAACAATGATACTTAGTTCATCTTAGTAGTATTTGTCAACTCTGCATTTCTAACCCCATTTTTTTCTCACAAGCATTTCATCGAACATCTATTCTTCACTTGAGATGACGTGAATCTAACATTACACCTTGAATTGTTGATGGTCCCGATAGTCCCTTGGTCGGGTCTTCTCTCAATGGACCCTTATTCAAGTCAACACCTCCACATAATTCAAAGTTACATTAGAATTTCCCATGTATCATCGACTGAAAAGTTACGCTGGAAATGAGAAGAGAGAATCAAAAAATGAAATTTGAGATCGAACAGGAATTTGGGGTTTAGAATGAAATTTAGGACTGTGTTGTAAGTTTTAAAAGTTGGGGACCTAAATGCAAGTGCCTGAAAAGTTCAGTGACTATATTGCAAACGTACTAACGGCAGTGTAATGGCGTCAAACGGTCGGGAATCATATTGCAAACAGACTAAATGTTGGGGGACCATTTTACAAACGAAATAAATGTTGAGGGATTGTATTGTAAGTTTTAAAAGTTGGGGGACCTAAATGAAAGTTTTAGAAAATTTCAGTGACCATTACTATACTTTACCCATTTAAAACATGTAATTATGAAACTATAAGAGAAAAATTATTAATAAAAACTATAAAATATAATTAAATTATATAAAAATTTAAAAATTATAGGAAGCAATCGATGCTCGCGCCGTTTCGGTCTCTCTTTGTTGCCTTCCCTAACTACCAAGGGAAGCTAAAAAGTTATAAATAGAGACAAGCAAGTAGGAGTGAACCAAAAGAACAATTCGTACATTTTATAGATAACAATTCGTACCTTTTATAGATAATGTTAGTATTGCCTTGCAGATTACAAGGGAAAGCCATTATTTGCCGTCCTTTATTTATTAATAAAAAAATTGAAAGAGTATAAGAAAAGATAGTTTAATTTAAGGTTAACGAAATACATAACCGAAAATATTATAAAAAGATATAATATTTTTGGTTAAGTGCAATTAAAATGTTAGCTTTTTTTAATATTTTTTATTGAACTAAAAATGTTAAATTTTTTTATAATATATTCGATTGACAACTAAAAATGTTATATTTTTATAAAATTTTTGGTTCAATAGAAAATATTAAAAAAATTAACATTTTAAGTTGCGTCTAGCCGAAAATTTTATATATATTTTATAACATTTTCGGTTACGCTTATTTCCTCGCTTATTTCCTGTTGTTCATAAGTCTTAAATTAAATTGTTCTATGACAGAATTACCCATAAAAATGGGAATGGGGAAAATGTTATATTCTTTATAAAAATTTTGGTTCGACCGAAAATATTAAAAAAATTAATATTTTAATTGCGTCTAGTATAAAATTTTATATTTTTAATAATATTTTTGGTTACGCTTATTTACTATTGTTCATAAATCTTATATTAAATTGTCGTATGACATAACTACCCATAAAAATAAGGGGAATGGAGAAATTCTGTTAGCTGTCAAGGTCCCCTGACCATGAATATGATCGATAACTATTTAAACTGCTAATTATTGTAAAGGTTATATATGAATTAGGGAGGTCAGAGTTTAGGTTCAAATTAATGTGTTTGAGCCGAAACTCCAAAAACAAAGAAAATTCTACGACGCTAGACAAGTATCACTAATGACGAGTATTATTAATTTAATTTATAAAAATTTAAATTTTAAAATATTGAACATATATTATAAATAAGTTAAAAATTTAAAGATAAATTATTTAAAATAAATGATAAATTATATCAATGACAACCTAATTATTATCCCTTTTCATTTTGACCAATTTTTTTAAATTTTTTTCAATCAGGTCACTCAATTATACCAGTGACCACCTAACAAAAATCAGTAGGGTTTTAGCTTAAAGCTTCAATTATACCGGACATGCTAGTTCATTTAGAGCAACAAGTTTAGTTAAAACCGAAACATCCTAGGAAGAATAACGGACCGAAAAAGAAAACAAGTGGCGCGAGAACTGAGAAGAATACAAGAATGGCAATAGGCAATGGAGATCCAGAACTCCCGTTCCTTTGTACAGCCACACTCTTCAACCTTATTTCCTACAAAGCCTGAGAACAACGAGAGAGAGAGAGAGAGAACAAACACTCAAAAACCGTGAAAAGAAGGAAATAATAGAATAGCAAAAGCGAAAGGATAATTACCAGTTAACAGTGAAGAAATCTCGCGAAACAGTAAGCAAGCAGCAGATCCGTAGCAAAGCTAGCAGCAGTAGTGGTGAAAATCCATAGTAAAGCAAGAACAATTAGTGGAGCGTTAATCAAATGATTTCATTTGATAAAAAAGAACATTATCATTACTTCACGTGCAGATAAAAGGAAGTGTGGCGGTGGAGAAGAGGCTGATTAACTAAAATTCTCAATCGAAAGACTAAGAAATTAAAATTTTGGAAAGAATGTGTTCATTTGATTGCCATGAGCAAACAATATGAACACATGATCTTCAGTCACCGCCCAGGTTTCCAGCTTTTTTTTTCCTTTAACATAAAATAACTTCAGTGACTGAAAATACCTTATAATATACGATTTTAACCAACTTTTTTTGGATTTACAAAAATAACCAACGAATTCGCAACTTGAATTCGGATTCGTAACTCGAAATTCAATTTCGTAACACAGTTTCCGAATTCGCAACTCAAATTTGGAATTCGCAACTCAAATTTGGAATTCGCAACACAGAAGTAGAATTCATAACTCGAACATAGAAATTTTCACAACTCGAATTTCCAATTTCGCAACTCGAATCTGTCAATTTCGCAACTCAATTATCAATATAGGTAAACACGGTAAAAAAAATCGGGTAAAAAATCCAAATTCGCCCATTTGAAAACTCAGTTGCGAATCTGACCAATTTCGCAACTTAATTACCGATATAGGTAAACACGGTAGAAAAATCCGATAAAAAATCCAAATTCACCAATTTGAAAACTGAGTTTCGAATTTGGCAAATTCGTGCTGCGAAATGTAAAATCTCACCTCTTAAAGAAAAAATCGTTTCGACGGTTCGTTTGTTTGGTTAAAGTTAAACGAACGAACGAACATGAACATACACTCGTTCGTGTTTATTCAATTCATTTACAGGCATAGGTTTAGCTGAGTGATTCATACGTGGACTTAGCAACTGAGATTTGTCTTTAAGAGGCGAAATTTTACATTTCGCAACACGAATTTGCCAAATTCGCAACTCAGTTTTCAAATTAGCGAATTCGAATTTTTTACCAAATTTGTTTTACCGTGTTTACCTATATCGGTAATTGAGTTGCGAAATTGGCGAATTCGAGTTGCGAAAACGAAATTCGCGTTGTGAAAATTTCCATTTTCGAGTTGCGAATTCTACTTCTGTCTTGCGAATTCCAAATTTGAGTTACAGATTCGGAAACTGTGTTGCGAATCCGAATTCGAGTTGTGAATTCGTTGGTTATTTTTGCAAATCCAAAAAAAATTGATTAAAATCGTTTATTATAACTGCAAGTGGCTGAGTTGAACATATAACGACCCCAACTTCTTATTTGTATTTTCCCTCTAACCTGACATTTTTTATTGCATGAGTTTCAATTTATTATCCAAATTAGTTTGAGTTTCAACTACTAAAGAGTCGAATTAAGTTTATTTTAATTTATTAAAATTAGGACCAAATTGATAGAGTATAAAAGTAATATTGACCAAAAGTGTAATTATATCAAATATTTTAAATGCCACATCAGTGTCTCCATTAAATATTAACGAAAAGTGATTTAATTGAATACATTTAAATAGTTGAATGACCTTATTGAAATTTTTTAAAAATATTGTTCAAAACGAAAAGAGGTAATAGTTAGGTGGTCACTAGTATAGTTTACACTTTATTTTAAAAAATTTATCTTTACATTTTTAATTAAGTAATAATTATACGTCGAGTCTTTTAGAATTTAAAATTTTATTAATTAAATTAATGGTGTTCGTCAGTATTGCTCATTACTGCTCGTCGAGCGTAGAAGAATAATCCCAAAAACAATCATTTTACTTTGATTGTGTTAAAAAAAAGTGGAAGTAGATTTTGATTTTAAAAGTAGTGTTGTATGATAAAATATAAGGTAAATTACGTGTTTAATATATAAATTATCCGTTTTAGTATCTAAATTTTTAATTTTTTAAAATCATATATAAAATTTAGTTTTTTTTATTTTAGTACTTTGCCTTTAAAAACTATAGTTTTTGTTTTATTTTAATAATTATGTTCAAAATGTAACATAAAAGTAGCGTTGTATGATAAAATATAGGGTAAATTATACGTGTAATATCTAAACTATCAGTTTTAACCCGTTTTAGTAACTAAACTTTTAAAATTTTCAAAATCATACCTAAAGTTTAGTTTTTGTTTCATTTTAATACCTCGCCGTTAAAAACTTTAGTTTTTATTTCATTTTAGTATCCGTTCAAAATTTAACGTAAAAGTAGTATTGTGTGATAAAATATATGGTAAATTACGTGTTTAGTATCTAAATTATCACTTTTGGTCCGTTTTAACATCTAAACTTTCAATTTTTTTCAAAATCATACCTAAATTTAGTTTTTATTTCATTTTAGTACCTCATTGTTAAAAACTTTAATTTTTATTTTATTTTAGTACCTGTTCAAAATTTAACGTTAAATTTTAAAAAAACCGAAAGTTTATGTACTAAAATGAACCAAAACTGATAATTTAAGTATTAAACATGTTAAGTTGTCAAGGACAGTGTATGAAAATGAAATGAAAATAAAATGTTAAGTATGTTTTTGAAAAACTTAAAAGTTTATATATAAAAATAGTGTAAAATTAATAATTTATGTAGTAAATATATGCAACTGTAAGTCAATTGAGTATTAGTTTAGATGATGCTAAAGGGTTTTTATATGGCGATAGGCTTTTAGAGGTAGTGTCTTTTGAAAAGGTTGATGCATGTAGACTTTTAAATATCCCTAGCTATTCCACTGCTATTACCAATTATATAATTACAATATGATCATCAGAATGTAGTATTTCTTGGTATATTGTTGAAAATATTATATTATTCTATTTGATTTATTTGGTAGCGACATAAAATTATAGTGGTTGGGTGAAGAATATAAAATTATTTAAAAATAAAATTTACCAAATTGTCTTTATGATATATTTTCTTTTAATAATTTAAACTCTCAATGTTAAATTAAAATTATTTGTATAAAAATTCATAAAATATTTTTATTAGGCATAGTAGTATCTTAAGGGTGTATAATTTGACAATGAGAGCAGACCATGTGGGTTCCATGGCCCCTTTAAAGCATTGGCCTATTAACTCTCACTACCTAATACCTATTACGTAACCAAACCAAACAAAATTAAAAATAATTATGGCTGGATCGTATCTTGTTTCTCTTTTGATAATTTATCCATTTCACTTCCCTTCCTCACAGGAATAAAATCAGAATATCTAATAGTATCAAAATAATTTTTTAAAAGATATTAAATATTTAAACTCCGACGGCGATATTAACGATTAGTAATTAATTTTATTAATATTTAAGTTTAAGGATCACTTATGTATCTGTAATATAAACAATTTATTATTTTCGTTATTATTGTATTTTTGCATCAATTTAGCCTTTAAAGTTGTTTAGTTGCATCATCTATACCTACATCTTAACTTAAAACCCTAAACAATAGTAAATATTTTAAACATTAATCTAATTGAGTAACTTTGATGACTAAATTGATGCAAAAATATCATAAAGATGAAAATGATAAATTGAGTCTACTATATGGTAAAAGTGGCCTTATGTCTTGATATTTAAATTATTAAAATCCTCAAACATCATTAGAAAAGAATATAGAGGACTAGCAGAAAAAAAAGATGAAAGTACGTGATGGCTTGTATTGTGTTCTTCATTCATGAAAGGTAAAATATTTGATGAATAATTAATGTATGAATCTTACGGTAGAAATATTGAATTGTCTTGTTATTCCATTCAATTCTGACATTAATGGTAGAATCAAATCATAATCTAATTATGTCAAACCATCAAGAATAAAATATATATTAGATTAGCAGAAGCGTACCTAAATTAATTGATAAGTTAAAATCATTGAATCTTTCTTTGGTTGTAATCTTCCAAGAAGATAGAGTTCCCTAAACTCTCTGACGGAGATAAGAGTAAATACGAGAGTGTCTATTTCTCGAGGACCATAACCCCTTTAAATAGATGATTTAAGTTATATAGAAGATTTAAAATCAGTTATTGTTTGTACTTATAAAACATAAGATTTTGCACAGAGTACTTACACCGGTGGATGCAAGAGAATTCATAACATTCAACCAAGAGAGCATAAGAGAGCATATGCATGGTAAGCTCAAAGCATCTTAAGAACAACAAGAAATATGACTGAAATTAAATATTAATATCAAAGAGTTGTAGAATGCTTTATTTGTCATACTTTCTTTGCGGAAACACTTGTGAGGTTTAATTGTCTATTTTTCTAAAGTATTATTTTTGGGTGAGTGTTTAATTGTGCAAACATATTTTTCTAATAAGATTTTCTTTGTTTGTTAAGTTTGTATGTCTTCTTTGGAAAGAATGTAATCAAGGTTTTGGAATGTAAATATAGATAATTATTATAAGGTTATACATTGTCTTTAAAGATTAGTAAATCTAGTGTTTTTAAGAAACTCTTTGGAAGATACCATGTTAGTAGATGTAGATTTAACTTAGAAGTCGAAACACACTAAACTGTTGAACAATTTTTTTTTTATTTTTTTATTACTATTAGCATAAAATTTGTTAACCCTGTAAAAATGGTATATTTCATATCTTTTTACTTAGTTTATTATTCGTTCTCAAGTTCATTTAGTTGCATTTAGATATATAATCCATGCATGTGGTGGAGTTTTCTTGTTTGTGATTAATTTGTTTAATTAATGGTGTTGCTATTAAGGAAATGAGGTGTTTTGGTGATGATTTTTGCATAATATGATCCCGGTTTGATGCCCCGAGCCATATACATAGTTGCCCGATCGTGATTGTAGTAAGAAACCTCGTAGTGATAACTTAAACTCTGAAATGACATAAATATAAGCATAAGAAGGAAATGATATGAAATAATAATTGAAATGATGGAATGAAAAGATTGAGTAAGTTTTTTGAAGGTGATGGAAGAGTAATGGTTGTTGCGGTTTAATGATAATGAAAGTAAATGGTGAAGTATGAATG